GATCATCCACATATTGAAGTAGTATAGATTCTCCTGAAATGCACTTGAAATCTTGCAAATCCTGGCTTAATGCAGATCCAAATAGGGTAGGTGAATTCTTGAACCCTTGATGTAGTCTGGTCCAGGTCATCTGACGCTTTGAACCTGTAACAGCATCTTCCCATTGGAAAGCAAAGACATGTTGACTCTCAACAGCAATTCAAAGACAAAAGAAAGCATCCTTAAGATCTAACACTGTGAAGTAGATTGCCCCCCCTGGTATCAAGGCAAGCAGATTGTAGGGATTGGGTACAACTGGGTGTATATTAACTGCTCTCAAATCCTGTACAGGACGATATTCGTCTGATCCTGGTTTTTGAACAGGTAATAATGGAGTGTTCCAGGAGGAAGTACAGAATTTTAGGATGCCATACCTTACGAACTTATCCAAGTAGGTTTGTATGTTTTCCTTAGCCTTTTGGGGTATGTGATATTGACGTAGGCTCACAGGATAGGCCCCAAGCTTTAGTTCAATATGTATGGGTGGGATATTACGAGCAAGTTCTGGTGGATTATTCTCTGCCCATACTCCTGGAATGTCAAATAAGGATTCATCACTCTTAGGGTTAACACTTGTCACTATGGAATAGAAGCGCCATTCTTCTTCCCTTGGCACCGACATTGCCATTATGCCTGGTAATCCCTTAAACTTCAGAGATGTTGATCCATTAGGTAAAAAGGTTATCTGGCTTGAAGCTTCGATAATAGATCTCGTCCTAAAAGTTGAATCGGACACTCTGGCATATATAGGAACTGATGCTACACCACATGGCCTCCCAGAATACAAGTGCGACTCTTAAGAACCGGTCTAGCTGCACTTCTACCAGTAGCTCCTATCACAGTTATAGTCTTCCCCGAAGGCGGAGCCGACATCTTAGTCACCACAGAATGTTCAGCACTTGTGTCGATCATGAAAGAACTTCTCTTTCCCCCTATTGCTACATCGACCATAGGCTCCGCTTGACCAAGGGGAATGGAGCCCGGTCGGTATCAATAGTCTTCCATGATAGTGTCAGCCAGACCCACAAAATCTCTATCCTCTCTTTCTCTAGGTCTCTGCGTGGGTGGATAGTATCTGTCTCCTTGAACACTTCCTCTACTATTCCCACCATTCCCTCTAAAACTTCCTCTTACTCTATAACTACCACTATAACCTCCTCGTACCCTTCTCTCTCCTTGTCTATCACCTTCATACTGCTCTCTCTGTGGACACTCACTCTTCCAATGTCCCTCCTTTCTACAATACGCACATTGATTCCTACTTAGAGGTCCCTTGCTCAGCCTATTCTCGTCTCCTCTATTCACTTCCCTTCTCTGTCTTTCTACACTTGAGATAGCTACCGCTAGCATATCTGCCTTTTTCCTCATCTTACGTTCTTCCTCCCGCTTTACCTCCGTCTCCCTATTCATATATACTTTATTTGCAATCTCCATTAGCTGTTATATGGACATCCCTACAAATCCCTCTAATTTCTGTAATTTCCTTTTAATATCACCTTGGGCCTGGCTGACAAATGCTGAATTAATCATCCTAGAATTCTCAGGAGCCTCTGGATTAAAAGGAGTATACAACCTATATGACTCCAATAATCTCTCATAAAAGGTACTAGGTGACTCATCAACCTTTTGCAACACCTCAGCCGTCTTTGACATATTAATTGCCTTCCTCCCTCCTGCCTTCATGCCAGCAATTATGGCTTCCCGATAAGCCCTTAGTTGGGGCATGTCAGCACCATTCACGTCCCAATTTGGATCGACATTTGGATAATGGGCTGCAGCCCACGCAACTGGATTGGCCTGATTTTGAGTACACTTGATTAATCCGGGTCCTTTCCTCACAATTAAAGTTAATAATAATTGCTGGCAATCGGCCCAGGTGGGATTATGTGTTTGGATAATAGAAGTAACCAAATCTGTCATAACTTGAGGTTTGTCAGTATATGAAGAGTTATGAGTCTTCCAGTTGAATAAATCAGTCGTAGTGAAGGGGACATATACAAACACTGGATCTGCCCGTTGTATTTGGCAATTCTCATCCACGTGTGTTGGGCCTGGTGTAAGTCTGAGTGACATTTGGTAATGTCGGGGTTGGACGGCACCAGTCATCTGTCGGGTTAATATGGGACTACGATATGATGATTTCATAATGAGTTCCGGTCTAGGCAAGGGGGGTGAGGTGGATTATTTTTACTGGGCGGAAGTTCGGTCAACAGGATATTACGGGCTGGGCTGGGAGAAGCCTGACCAGGAACCAGAAGTGACGTCAGTTCCGGATATATGGAACTTGTGGAGGCCTGTACCGGAAGGGGAGGTTTCAGAGCTAGTGGGCTGGGCTCTGAACTAGATGCATGAGTGGGCAGGGACAATGGGAAAGGGGGTGTAGCAACACCAGTAGCACCACCTCTAACCTTAGAGGAAGTGTAAGGGGGTGGGGAGCAGGGCTCGAGTCCTGCAGGAACGCATGGGAACGGCGTTCCTGCACTTTTTCCAAAGCAGGAACGCCGTTCCCGTTACCTGTCCTGCAGGACAGGTGTTCACAGGGGGAGCAACGTCTCTGTGCTGCCTCATTCCTCCCAGTCCCCAGCATACTGCCGCCCACAATGCACTGTCTGCTGTTGGTGGTATAATGGCTGTCAAGATGCAGGAGATGTGCTTGCTCACACTACTCTCCCCCGCGGTAGTTTACTGAGGAGTGAAGACTGCAGTGGGCGGGGCATTTTACATCACTTCCTGTCAGACCCTGCTAGAGGATTACCGAGCAGGGAGAGCTAAGAACACTTTCTGTCAGACCCTGCTAGAGGATTACCGAGCAGGGAGAGCTAAGAACATCTCTTTTCAGCTACTTACACCACCAATGGTAAGCAGCCATGTTTTATTTATTTTTTCATCATATAATTATGTATCTAGCACAGAGCTCCACAGAGCTAAATCTTATAGTTCATGTGGAGCTCTGTGTTTTATTGGTCCAACAGTGCCACCTCACTTCTATTCTTCTGATGCTTCCACTCCCCCCATCACTAGCAGCCATCCAATCTCCCCATCACTAGCAGCCATCCCCTTCTCCCCCATCACTAGCAGCCATCCAATCTCCCCATCACTAGCAGCCATCCTTCACTCACCCCTATCACTAGCAGCCATCCCCTTCTCCCCCATCACTAGCAGCCATCCAATCTCCCCATCACTAGCAGCCATCCTTCACTCACCCCTATCACTAGCAGCCATCCCCTTCTCCCCCATCACTAGCAGCCATCCACTCATCAGCCATCCCCTTCTCCCCCATCACTAGCAGCCATCCACTCTCCCCATCACTAGCAGCCATCCTTTCACTAGCAGCCCCTATCACTAGCAGCCATCCCCTTCTCCCCCATCACTAGCAGCCATCCTCCTCTCCCCATCACTAGCAGCCATCCTTCACTCACCCCTATCGCTAGCAGCCATCCCCTTCTCCCCCATCACTAGCAGCCACACATTCTCCCCATCACTACCCACCATTACTCTCACCCCTATCACAAACAGCAATCCTCCTCTCTCTGTTACTAGCAGCTATCATCCTCTCTCCCTCCCATCACATGCAGCCACCCCCCTCTCTCCCTCCCATCCCTAGCAGCCATCCCTTATCTCCCCCTATCACTAGCAGCCATCCCTCTCCTCCTCTCATCACTAGCAGTATATGTCTGTTTATGTATGTCTCTGTATGACTTTCGTCTGTTTGTCTCTGTATGACTGTGTGTAAATCTCTGTATGACTGTGTCCATATTTCTCTGTCTAACTGTGTCTGTATGCCTTGTTCTGTATGACTTTATCTTTATGTCACTGTATGACTGTGTCTTCATGTCTCTGTATGCCTGTGTCTTCATGTCTCTGTATGACTGTCTGCGTGTCTCTGTATGACCGTCTGTGTGTCTCTGTATGACCGTCTGTGCTCTGTATGACTGTCTGTGCATGACTGGTTGCTTGTATGACTGTGTTTGTTTGTGTACCTTTTATGACTATGTGCCTGTATGGTTGTGCCTTTATGCATGTATGTATTTGTACCTGTATATCTATGTCTGTTGTGTTTGGGAGGAAAAAGCCAGGCAAAGGGGCTCGTGGTGGGAGAAAGAGACACAGAAAGTGGCTGGGGGAAAGAAAGAGACACACAGAGGGGCTGGGGGGAAGAAAGAGACACAAAAGGGCTGTGAGGAGAAAAGAGACACACAAAGGGGCTGATGAGGAACTAAGAGAAACACAAAGGTTGTGGTATGAAGAATGAGATATACAAAGGGCCGGGAGAGGGAACACAGAGTGTGTTGGACCCCCGTGTGCACCGGCTGGCTCTCTCCACCATACCACCGGACCACCAGGCGATCTCCCCCCTCCCTGGCAAGGTAAGAAGCAGGGAAGGGGGAATAAAAAAATATATATATAAACACATAAATTTAAAAAAAAAATGCTTCCCCTCCTATCATCCAGCACACGCACACATCATCCAGCACACACACATCATCCAGCACACACACATTTTCCAGCACACACACACACACACACATCTTCCAGCACACACGCATCTTCCAGCACACACACACTGCATTCATTACACACAATCTGCACTTACTACAAACACACTACATTCATTATACACACTCTGCACTCACTACACACACTGCATTCATTATACACACTCTGCTCTCACTACAAACACACTACATTCACTATACACACTTTGCACTCACTACATTCACTATACACACTCTGCATTCATTATGCACACACTGCATTAATTGTACACACTCTGCCAAGGCTGCCATCAGAAATTTTGGGGGCCCCTGACACAGTTCAAAGTGTGGGCCCCCTGGGCCCGCCCCCGAGTCTGCCCCCGCAGGTGAACATATAGATAGCTATAATCACTATCTATATGTGCACAAATGAGCAGTCCGGGCCCCCAGGACCGTCAGGCCCATGACACTCTGCACTCACTCGGCCCTGCACTCTGCACTCACTACACACACTGCATTCACTATACACACTCTGCACTCACTACATTCACTATACACAATCTGCACTCACTACAAAACACTACATTCACTACACACACTGCATTCATTATACACAATCTGCACTCACTACAAACACACTACATTCACTATACACACTGCACTCACTACATTCACTATACACACTCTGCACTCACTACAAACACACTACATTTATTATACACACTGCACTCACTACAAACACACTACATTCATTATACACACTGCACTCACTACATTTCATATACACAATCTGCAATTACTACAAACACACTACATTCATATACACACTGCACTCACTACATTCACTATACACACTCTGCATCACTACAAACACACTACATTTATTATACACACTGCACTCACTACAAACACACTACATTCATTATACACACTCTGCATTCACTACAAACACACTACATTCATTATTCATACTCTGCACTCACTACAAACACACTACATTCATTATACACACTCTGCATTCACTACAAACACACTACATTCATTATACACACTGCATTCATTATACACAATCTGCAATTACTACAAACACACTACATTCATTATACACACTCTGCACTCACTACACACACTGCATTCATTATACACACTCTGCACTCACTACAAACACACTACATTCACTATACACACTCTGCACTCACTACATTCACTATACACACTCTGCATTCATTATGCACACACTACATTTATTATACACACTCTGCATTCACTACAAACACAGTACATTTATTATTCACACTGCACTCACTACAAACACACTACATTCATTATACACACTCTGCATTCACTACAAACACACCTCATTCATTATTCATACTCTGCACTCACTACAAACACACTACATTCATTATACACACTCTGCATTCACTACAAACACACTACATCATTATACACACCCTGCACTGCACTATATGCATAGGAGTGTAAATGATTTTTTTTTGGGGGGGGGGCAGGAATCTTGGGTGAGTTCCCACACTTTTTTCCCCAGGACTTGACCCCTGGTGGGGAGGGAAGGTCAGTTTCAGAGGGGGAATCTAAAATGGGCGGAGTTGCGGCCGTGATGGAGAGGCAAGTCCTGGTCACCATGAGGCGACATTGCTCCTTGTGGCATACCTTAACCCATTTAGGCAATTCTTCTACAATCTGTTTCCAACAATCGATATACGGAAACTGATCATAAAATTCAGGCATACTAGATACAGCCGCGTGCACACGTTGTACCAAAATGAAATCAAGGCTACCACGTGGTGGCCATGCGGTCACCAGGACAGGCCACTCTCTACTACATAAGGTAGTCAAACGTTTTGGGGACAATTTTACCCCATAATCACAGGCTTTATATCCCTTTGTAAAGTTTTTCAACATGCATGACAAGGGATCAACAATCTTTGAGTCGGAGCACCCATACTGGCAATGGAACGTCTATTACAAAGATACACAATACTTCAAACACTTCCAACAATCACACTCGTTTCCCTGGCAACAGTACCACGTGGCACGGTTGCTAGCCAAACATACACACACAGTAACACGCAGAGAATTCTCGTTCATACAATGATATCACAGTGTCCCACTCACAAAGATCTACCAAACACTAGCTACTTACCTCTATAACTATAAATCATTTCTACAATTATCCGTACTATAAATGAACTTTTAACTAACCAACTATATCACATTCTAGTAACCTCATCTTTACAGTCAGTGGTTATGGTACAGTTAGTAAGTGGTTATAATACAGTTTTAAAGTCACAGATCAGTTAGTAACAGTTATGGTATTATACATATAACATAAAACAGCAATTGTTAGTAATTTTTACACAATGTCAGTGGTTATGGTACATGTCAGTAGTTATGGTACCGTGCGCTATTTTACAGTTATACACACAATTTACACTCCCACTAGACAGCAGAGCTCTAACTTTCTAGTAGGACATACAAGTTAACCAATTCACCAACTACAATATATTTAACAACATTTACAATAATCCCAACTATTCTAACTGGCCAGCACCTCGAGAGCTTTCGATCTATTTGTACACCAGAGATTCGATAAGTTCTTCGCTGCCCAGACACCGCGTATAGCGAACTAGAGGGCAGAATTTACACCAATACCCTTTCAGTCTATTAAACTATCAATAATCTAGTGGCTGGATTTACAACAGAGCACACTTAGTTAAGATAGGGTGAAATCTAGCAAACTATAATATACAACAGAGTATGCTAGTTTCGACAATCTCCCCTTCCATAGCAACCAAAATTTATACCTAGCATGCTAGTCAAGGCAGGACATTGGTGTCCGACATGAGCTATTTACACCAGAACTCAGTCTGACAAACCACCTATATTAGATGGGCTGACTACAGAGCGTCTAATTTCCAGATAAGCGTTGCACTTTCGCTTCTTCCTTCCAAATTGAAGTGGCCAATACCAATAACCGATTCCAAATATAAAACCCCTTGTGGGTCTACCGCTCTAACGGTATCAGTCTTACCTGTTAGTTCCTGGACCTGGGTTCACACTCATAGACGGAACAACTCGGTACTCACTGCGCAGAATCCGATGATCTCCTGGACAAAACGCCAGTGGCGCCGAGACGAAAGGAGGTCCACGCAGTAGAAGTCCAGGGTTGCAGCGTAGAGAATGTAGTAAATGTTTACCGTCTCAAATCTCTGCGCCAGCTTCCATGCGATGAGGTTGCCCGCCAATGCACCAGCGATGTTACCGTGTAAGCATGCAGAAGCCAAACACAGAGATATGGACACAAGTTTTCAGTAAGTAAGAGGCCTTTATTCACATTACCGATCGGGTCTCAGATGAACTCCTGTTCCAAATGACATAGTGTACATTCCTTATATAGCACTATAACTCCTCCCATTAATAGCTACACCCACATATACCTTTAACCAATCAATGAGCAGAATATAGACTTGTACATCTAGTCAAACCACATGGCCCATCCAAGACAAAGGAAATAAGTGCAATTTCAGTTCCTGCATTCCTGCACATGCTCAGTACATTGATGACAGTATCCTAGCTACGTGTAGCTGACTAACTGACACATGGAAATCTTGGCCTACTAAATTTACATTTACCGAAATTCCCCCCCCCTTCGGCCGGCGGACCGGGGGGGGGGGGATTTCTGCATTATCTGTCCCCCCCCCCCATCCCCCCTGGTTCCTAGGCCTGTGCTCCAGACAAGGTGCTACAGCAGTTAAATAAAATTAATGTAAATAAAACTTCAGGGCCTGACAGTATTCACCCACAAGTACTTAAGGAGCTAAGTGAATCTTTCAAGATTCTTTTGTTTTAGGTATTGTACTGTAGGATTGGAGGAAGGCAGATGTCATTCCTATATTTAAAAAAAAAAAAAAAAAAGGTTCAAAATCCTTGCCTGGAAATTATAGGCCTGTGAGCTTATCTCCTGTGACTGGAAAATTATTTGAAGGGCTTAATAACTTGAATGGTAATGATTATTAACTTGCATCAGAATAATAAACAGTTCATATACAGGCTACAAAACAAAGACCAGTCATAGACATATAGCAGTAAATGCATTAACTATGTGCTCTATAGTATAATACACAGCACATATACAGTATATGCAATAACTCAACCTGCTCTATAATCTAATACACAGCAAATATAGTGCGGGTAAACCAAACAACACACAATTATATAAAACAATACAGCACACAACTATCACAGAAATCAACCAAGTAGCACAGTCAAATATAGTTACCAACAGAGTGTAGATCTGTATATTGAAGTCTCCCCTGGACCTCTGCTTAGAAGTCACTCATTGAAGTTCCTACCAGAACTGCCCTGTCTCTAGCCATTTTGGGCCTACATTTATACAGCTTTTTCTCTTTGACGTTCTTCCCTCCATTTACCAATATCTCCCCTCCCCCATCTACCTAAATTATCTTGGGGCCATGTAATGGGTTTGGGAGGATCAAAAGCTCAACAATAAATTCCTTATTTCTTGTATGATGTGGTTCACAATAGAAGTAAACAGCTATTTGCTATTTAAATATAAGTTAGGAAAAACTAATTAACACCCTATTGAAAACACAACACTCAGGATGAACAAACTGGTCCAATATCCTGTTCTAAGGTATGCTATGTTAACAGTTAGACAAAGGGCATTTGATTTTGGAATTGATAACCCCAACTGTTCCATGTACATTAACAGTTTGATGCGGCTCCCGGCCCGCCGCATGGCGTAGCCGTGCCCGACCAGCACAACCTCGCCGATATTGCGAGCTTACCAGCTCGTTGGGGAGGCGGGAACCGCTCCTCTGCGTCTTCTGGGCGTTTTACGGACAGGCGCGCAACGTCACAACGTCAACGCACGCACACATTCTGTTGTCAGAGGTCACCCTCTGACCAATCAGAGCCCAGAGAGGGAAATTGAAATCCCTAATTCACTTCAGTTCCTTGCCCTGTCTTGGTTTCCTGTTCCTGGTTCCCGAGAGTGCGTTTATCTGTGTGAATCTGACTTCCTGGTATCCTGATCTTGGCTTTTCCCTGGTTATTCCGAATTCTGGTTCCCCTGTCTTGGCTTGTTTAAACGGTATCTGAGTATTTCTGACTTCCTTGACCTCGGCTTTCCCTTTGACCATTCTCTATCTCTAGCGTATTTGTCCGGCCATTCTAAGGCCCGGTTTACGCTCTGTCCTTTTATTTCCTTACCTTTTTATGTATATGTTTTCATAGTTGCTGCGTGTTGGACCACACTAGCAGCCGTGACATTACGACAGGGCCATGGATCCTGCGGAACTATGCAAACATATGATTGCCTGTGAGAGTAGGGTGGAGGATATGGACCACAGGTTAGATCAGTTTGCCCAAGCATTGCAGACGTTGATCCAGAGAACTGCCTATCTGGAGGCACCTCCGGTATCGCCTGTGGCTCCGCCACCTGTAAAGCACCTGTGGCACACAAACCACCATCCAAAACCCTTTCACCTCCCCCTCATTTTGGAGGTGATTCTAAGGAATTTAGAGGTTTTTTAAACCAAATTGAATATCACTCCAAAGCTTCCCCTGGTTCATTCCCTACAGATAGATCGAAGATTGGCTATCTAATGAACCAATAAACGGGTAAGGCTTTAACCTGGGCCAATCCCTTATGGGAAAGTGGAAATCCAGTTGCCCGTGATCACAATGTATTCCTATTAGCATTTAAAGCTACTTTTGAGCCAAAAGGGAGAGAAAAGAACACTGCCAGAGCCCTAATAAGAATAAAACAAGGCAACCGCTCTGTAGCTGATTATGCCATAGAGTTCTGGACATTGGCGTCTGAGGTTGACTGGACCAATAGCGGTTTGATAGCTGCCTTTTCCGAAGGTTTAGCAGAAAATATACAAGACAAGACCGCAGCCAGAGATCTTCCAGTTAACCTTAATGACTTTATTGCATACATGATAGACATTGATAACCGGCTCAGAGAGAGAGAGAGAGAGAGAGAGAGAGAGAGAGAAACAAACAGCGTACTAGACGTTCTAACTTATTCATAGCCCCTCGTTTCTCTAACCCAGTGGTAATTAGCCATGCTCCACCTCCAGAATCTGAACCCATGCAACTGGGCATTGCTAAACTCACTGAGGCAGAGAGACAACACAGACACAACAAAGGGTTGTGTTTGTATTGTGGCAAAAGGGGACATCAAAGGTTTTCATGTCCGGTTCGGCCGGAAAACTTGCACACCTAAGGCACGTTCGGGAACCGACCTTCGGTGTGATGTATATGT